CTCTGTCTCAAAAAAAAAGAGTTGGAAGTTGCTGTGAGCTGTGACGCCACAGCACTCTACCAAGGGAGACACAGTGAGACTCTGTCTCAAAACCAAACAAACAAAAAAAACCTTTAGAAACATCAGAATTTACATTAAGGTATTTTTATAGATTATTCATGTATATACCATTTTTTCTAGATAACACAGGTATTCCTTGGAGATGCAACAGTGACAATAAATTCCGAGCATTTTTAGGAAATAAGAGTCAAAGCTCTGTAGCTGGGATAACTAAGTCAATAGCTATCTCATAATTAAGAGAAACTGAGATTCTGACTCCAGGGTACAAAGAGCTCACCTGGACATTAATTGCTTTGTCAAAGTCTTCATGTTTTTTGATCAGAGCCTCCACACTGTCCAGTGAGTCTCCTTTGTCTTCTGTATTCAAGAAGGCCTCCCGGGCAGCCATCCAGTTCTCAGCTTGCTCACAGTCCCGATGAAAGAGCTAAAGGGAAGGAAAGAGAATTGCTTAAGCCCAAGAGTGCGAGGTTGCTGTGAGCTGTGATGTCACAGCACTCAACCAAGGGTGATAAAGTGAGACTGTCTCAAAAAAAAAAAAAGGAAGAGCTTAAAGAGAGGAGAAGCACGTGAGAAGATGGGCCTTTAGCAAGGAAACACCTAGTCAGAAACCCAGAGCACACGTACCTGCAACTCAAGGCACTGATCCAGCATCATCCTGCGTTGAACCCAGGCCTTTTCCAGGTCTGTACGCTCCCGATCGAGAATATCAAGTTTCTCCTTGATCTCTGGGCTGGCATAGTGCCCATGAGCCAATAGTTGCTGCCCAAACTGCTCAAATGCCTGGAAAGTGCCAGCCCTGGCATCAATTTCTGTCCGGTGTTCCTGCCAAGAGGAGGGAGGGGATGAGGTGACTGGCAGTAGACTGCCAGGCTAATGTCAATTGCCACAAAGGGTGTGTGTGGGGGGGTGAGCCTGCGGGACCCAGCAGAACTCCCATATTCCTGCTTCACAGTAGGAAGTCTACCTACCTGGTGTCGCTCCAGTAGTGCTTCAGCTCCAGTGACATCTTTGGCCAGCTCATCTGAGGACACCAACCCCCGTATTCCATTGATCCAAGACATGAGGTCCCTGGAAACCAGACCACAAAGGAACTGTTATTATATTACCTAGTAAGCAGGCTTTCTGTCCAGAAAAATAGAGAACTACATAACTCTCACTTCTGAAGGTCATTTGGGGTTAATCTAGTTAATCTATTGAATGAGACTACGTTTCCAGGCAAAGTGTCTTCAAGCCTCCTGTGCTTCTTGCTGAATTATTTTATTTTTAAGCCAGAAATCCTCGGAAGAAAAATTAATGGGTTTATTAATAAGATCATTTCACCCTACAGAATAATAGGTTCTAAAAGAGGTAAATAGCTAAAGTTAAGTTTTTCACAGCTTCACAGGAAAAAGCCTTTCTTCAGGGTTACCCTTGAAGCCCTGGACCTCTGCACACATGTAATACAGCTTCTCGCAGATGTACAAGGACAAGGGCACAAAATCAAGTGCATAAGTCAAAAATCATACGGTTCCTTTCACGTGACATGTCCAGAAGAGGCAAGTCCAAAGATAGAAAGCATGTTCCTTGGGGTGAAGGAATGGGAGGGATGAGGTCAGGGCTATGGGATATTACTCCAGGGTGAAGAAAAAGTTCAAACCTAAAGATGGGTGGTGGCTGTACAGCAATGGGAAGATATTAAATGGCACATAAATAGCTATGTGTTGTGTGACTCACCTCAAAAAACCCCAAAACAACCCAACTAGGGGAGTCAGCAGCTGTGTCTCAGTGAGTAGGGTGCCGGCCCCATATACTGAGTTTGGCAGGTTTGAATCTGGCCCTAGCCAAACTGCAACAAAAAATAGCCAGGCATTGTGGTGGGCACCTGTAGTCTCAGCTATCTGGGAGGCTAAGGCAAGAGAATCGCCTGAGCCCAGGAGTTGGAGGTTGCTGTGAGCTATGATGCCAGAGCACTTTAGCAAGGGCAACAAAGTTAGACTCTGTCTCTAAAAAAAAA